TTCGACACCTTGAGGGTGTCCAGCACGTTGACCTTGTCCAGCATCTTGAGGATACCGAAGGTCCACACCTTGAGAGTGTGCAAATTGATCGACACCTTGAGGGTGTCCTGCATGTTGACCTTGTCCAACATCTTGAGGATGTCGAAGGTCCACACCTTGAGGGTGTACTTCACGGCGACCTTGTCCAGCATCTTGAGGATACCGAAGGCCTTGACCTTGTCCAGCATCTTGAGGATACCGAAGGTCTTCATCATCATTTGATGGCATAGCCCCTTGAGTCTGCAAGGCCACACCTCGTCTTGTACTCCAACTTGACGGAGCACTCATTCGTCCCATTGCTAGCGGCTCCAACTCTCGCGACGCGTCTGCATCTTCTATCTCCGGAAGGTCCTCCTTGACTGAGACCTCTTCCCTTGGCGTCCACATCGGCTGCTCCATGGCCAACTGACGTGCTTCTCGTAGGTGTTCTTGCTGAACCCCTGCTGACCACCACGGATTCGGCTCGGTGCCCAAGTCCAACAGGTCAGTGCTCACATCCAGTTCTTGCCGTAGAGCCCCTCCATGTTCGCCTCGTAGTAGAGCTCGTCCTCCACCTTGACCATCACTGCCATTGGGTAGAGCTCTTTCATCTCCACGCCGAAGGTCTCTGCCATCATGTCCAGCTCGGTCTCTTCCATGCCCTTCTTGGCCTTCTTGATCCAGCCGTAGAGCACGAGGTCCACTTCTACCAAGTGGCACCGAACACGACCTAGTCCACGACATGGCAGGCGCCCCTCAGCTGAGCGTTGGGCTCATAACCTGTGTTAGGCAGAGCAGCGCGACTTTTTGATCCTAAAGGAGCCTACACGGTCATAGGCTTTTGTCACATGATATGAACAGATACTACACCTGTCCAATTGCACAGTCATGTACATGAACCCTTTTGCACCTTCAAATTCCTTAAAATCCGCTGTCTCAAATGATATGCCCAATAAAATCGATATAAAGAGATCCTGGAAAAGCACTGGTTCCATTCTGCAATAAAATGCTCCAAACATTCAATTTTTTGCAATAAAATTAGAATGGAATTTTAACATGTTAAAAATCATCAGGATTTCCCTGTCCAATAAAATGCTCAGACCAACCCCTTAACAATAAAATGACTAACCTGACTCCAATGTTGAAATTCCAATACATTACGGATCTCGCATAGACTATGCACAATTCATCCATTTCTAGCGCGGAAATTGCCACGGGGATACTAATATCACCAACCAAGGGGCCTGTGGCTCGTGTACCACCTGGCTGGAGCAGCAGCGCCGGCATTTCCTCTGAAACACCACCAGTGTGGTGAAGGGAAGGGCGGCCGGGTACGAAGTGGGGAGACCTCAGCTGCAGCCGGTAGCTTCAACTCATCCAGAATTCGTGGTCATTTATAGCTATAAATCATTGGTTTCCCTGAAAATAGACCATGAACATTGAATTTGGGCATAGTGGTATACTCAAGGATATTATGGGATAATCAATATTAGTACCAATCGGGCAGCGGCAACCTCATTGCTGTGGTGCTTGGGACGATGTGATCTGAGCAATTGGACAAGCGACAGACCCTCTTCGGTGCACTGGCAGCTGATCTTGAATGTCCTCACTGAGACTTGCCAGAACTGCATGTGTGGCATTGGCATGAACAATCTCTGTGTGTGTGTGTATGTATATATATAATATATATATATATATATTTCAGTGGTTCATGGGTCATGCATCAAGCATGTTAATCCATGTATATAGTCTGCCTAGTCCTCTTCTCGGGAAAGCTTCAATGACACATCCAAAGTTTCTGCTGCAGCATGTGTTGCAATGGTGCTCGTGCCGACGCATTTCCCCGTGGGTGGTGTCCTTGCTCATGGAAATGTCGGTCCGCAACGTGTACGGTTGCCCACCCCGCAAGCATGTCCGCGGAGACATCAAGAAGTTCACACTCCGCATTTTCTGGAGCACTGCATGGCTGGGAACGGAAGTTCCGTTTGGTGACTTCTGAGCAAGACTCAGTTTGATGGCATCGATGCTTTAGAGTTGGCTAAACTGCTAAACAACAGGATAAGCCCCTTCTGGGCAACATGACGCAACAACTCTAAGACTTTTGGCTCTTTTTCCCCTTGCAGTATAAGTGGCATTCTGGTTTTGCGGGCGGCGTCGAGTTATTCACTGGAAATGATACCATCGTGTCTGAAGTGTGCTGCGATTTAAAAGGAAGCTATCCGTCTTTGAGAGGCTTCCACAGCTGCAAATCACCATCCAAATCTGGATAGCTGCATTCAAGATCTACAGATCCATAAAAAAAGGGTTGTTCGGCAGCTCCATTCCATGCCAACAAACAAGGCATGCATGAGTTTGGTGCAAAATCATGGGGCTGTGTGGAATATGATGACTAATCGGTGGATTGAGGATATACCCAGCTATTTGACCGATCCATACCAGTAACATCCCGAAACCCTCGCAAAAGCTCCACCCTTCAGCGGCCCCAGCGTGCGCACTCTCCCTTGGTGCATCTCCCAGCAGGACTCGTGCGGAAAAAACCTCGCCAAATCATCGACGGGAAGCACAACAAAGGGATCTTAGGATGTGATTTTCCTCCAAAAAGAGTCAAAAAGCATGAAACAGCCTCAGCTGAATGGTTGTCTGCAAGATCTGTCTCAAGGTATCATATTATACTATATTATACTGACACATGATGTTGAAGGTTGGATCAAGAATTGCCTTTGATATCCTTTGATACTGTAGAGTTCAGAGTAATTTAGCAGACACCAAACAACCCACAGCAGCGCACGATTCTTGTTCTTTGCGGGATCAAGTCAGAGCCCTCAGAAAGTTCCAACGTACTTTCTCGGAAAGGTTCGACAACCTTGCGCCATGGAAGCGCCACGGTTACAGGTGAGCAAACAAGGGAACATGGTAACGTATGGATTCGTGGGCATTAACGATGCCTCCTACATAAAAGGGTTGGGAGGAGGCAAGGGTGAGGGATGGACGATACCTCCAACATGAAGGGTGCAGAGTGCCGTGGAGATGATTTCAAAAATCTCTAGCAGTGCATGCGCGTCTCTCTCTCTCTCTCTCTCTCGCTCTCTCTCTGTCGATATGCCTGCGTGTGACTGCTCATGTATGAACCAGGAGACCTTGTCTTTGCTTTAATAGCCAAACGTGTATGTGAATGTGTATGTATTAAGCGAGCAACCGGGTAGTTGTTTTAATGTGTCTCGGATACAGTAAGCTCTCTGTCAGCATGACTGGCCAGGTGATTTCAAGTCGCTAGGGTGAGTGTTACAGAGCGGATCACCATTCCACCATTCTCGTCTTGTTGCTAGGACAAATCTCAATATCTTCAAACCCAAAGGTGAGCACCAGAAGCACTTTGGCGAGCACGAGACTTCTCCAGCGACCAAACGAAAGTTGTGGCGTTTTTTGTCGAGAACAATGAGAACAAGTAAGTGAAATCAATACAAACATATCTGTCGACATGTGCTGCAACTAAATCAACAAATAACAACATATTTCACAATGTATAGTATTTCCTGTGTGAATGGAAAACCCAAATTCAGGGCCTGAATGTGGAATCCATATTGGACGCGCCACACTTTCTCGGCTGGACCTGTCTCGTCAACACATCGGCATCCATGGCAGATCATGACCACTTAAACCCATGGATGGACGGCACCCGGCCTGTCGACAGTGGTTCTAGTCATTCCCAGCAGGTCCTTTTGTTCCCACAGAAGGCAAGAGGGGAAATCGAGACAGCGTTGCAGCGTTGCTATTGTTTGCTTTCAACTTATTCTTGTGCTTCAAACAACTGGTTGGACTTAGGAAGCAATACAATCTGGGAAAAAAACTCATCAAAAAAATGTGTATGACAATGGCGTCCTGCAGTGGCTGCTTGATACAAAGGTAGTTCTCAATATGATTGCGAGCAATGACAACAATCATGGTACTTCCAGTACTCCAGACCAAGAATGGCACTCATCACACAGATGGTGCTGGCGGTAGAAGCTAATGAGCAGCATTATATAACAATAGTAGCAGCCGGACTTTGTGCTATCAACTCAATAGCTCAGGAATCGTCAAGCCAACAGTGAATAGTCTCGAACCCATTCCGACCTCCGAGTTTCAACATTTTGAACATTAGCTTTCCATAGCTTTCCCATGTTCAGATGCCCGAAAGCCAGATAAAGCCAGGGCAGCTCCCATCTCCAGCAGCTGCTCCCATCTCCATCCTCTACCTTCGCAGGAACCATATTGCTGCAGTTCATGTGAACAGCCGCACCGCTGGACCTGGGTGGAACTCTGGTCGCTGGACTCATGGTCCAAGGCTACAATCATGGGCCTGACACCTGGCTGCCCTGGCTGTGAAGTTTTAAGTTTCTTTCAAGTCAACCCCCTTCCAGCAGGGATGAGTAGGAGTTGATTGCTATTACCCTCTGGTAAACAAACACTTTGCTATTGAAAATGGCCATTTAGTTCGTTGATTTACCTATTAAAGATGGTGATTTTCCATAGTTATGTTAGTTTTCCCCAGAGGGTATGACACCCCATCAGCATTTGTGGAACATCCGTGACACCCCGTGGCCTGGAAGGTGGAATGAACTGTGCACCTGGGGCGAACTCAAGCAACCAACGTTGATAGAAAAGGACATCAGAAATCCCAGTTCCCAGTATTCATGGGGGTTCAACATGGTTTGGTTATGTTTAGTTTAACCATCCTGATCATCCTGAAATTGGAATACAAAACCAATACATACCAAGACAATGTTAAGTACCTTCCATATGGGCCTCCAAATTGAATGCAGATGTAATATTAGGGGCTGTTTTACAGGGGAATTACGAAGGGCATGCCGGGCATATCAGCACCAGGTCGGGTGAGGTGCAGGGGAGTCAGTCTTGTCCAGAGAGGATGCCTCAAAACAGGGCTACATTTGGCCATCCTTCCATACTTTGACATCGACAGTTGATATATGTTGACATCCACTTTATGGTGAGTCGGCAGGGTTGAGCTTGAAATACCATTCGCGGGAAAGCTGCAGAGGGATCGTGCCTTCTGCGGCAAAGTTTCCGCTCTTTTCCTGACGCCGTTCTGCAGGTCGCTGCACTAACTTCAACCAAACTCCACAGAATCATGAAACTATTCTGTCTGCCACTGAAAGAGGCCCAACAATAGGTATCCATATGATGGGTTATAATTCATACATATTCATACTATTTTATAATTATCCTCAATAAACATCAATAAACCAGGTAGTTAATGTAAGAAGCAACAGAGATTCATGTTAAACCACTCAAATTGATGGCTCAACGCTGCCCAGGCTCCAACTCTTCACGGCTCACGGGTCTCTGCGACACAACGTTGCTTGCCATCTTGGCAAAGCATGGTGATGGTCTTGGCATCGACATCAACGGCGCAAAGTACTCGCCAGATCCTGGACAACAACTGCGGCCGGAGGGAAGGCGCCATTAAAAAAAAAAGTTGCTGGTGAAAATCCAGAAGAACTAATACAGATTATAAAGATTATACAGATTATTATAGCACATCTTGAATCATCTTGATATATCTTGCTACATGGTAATCCGCCGACCCCAGCCGGATGCTGGGGGAGCGCCCTGGAGAAGGCCTGCCCTGAAGAATGCTCAAGGGACAGACAGAGACAGATAGAGACAGACAGAGACAGACAGAGACAAACAGACAGAGACAGACAGATAGAGACAGAGACAGAGAGAGACAGAGAG